AGGGAGGGAGGGGAAAGAGGGAGAAAGAAAAGAAAAAATTAAAGTCCGCAAAAGGAAATCGTAGAAGTGCACAGCATATGGCTCCCATAGAAGATCCCTGCAAAGTGTCCTACGCGGTCACTGCTGTTCAGCACTTCGTCTGTAACGACAGGGGTTTGCTTTTGGGAAGAAGCACGGTTTTCACTACACCACGTGCAGTTTGGGAGAATTGCAGGCCTGAGCAAAGTCCCTGCTGCCCTGGACTCAGCCCTTCCAGATGTCCCCTAAGATAGCCCCCCCTCCACTGCCCAAATAGCCTCCTTGAGCTCCAAGACGCACGGACCCTCTCAAGCGGTCGGGCGCTCACACCTGAGGGAGGAGCGGGCGGGCGGGGCCCGTACACAGGCACACTCACAGACACGCATACACCCCCAGTCGCGCGCGAGCTTCCCATTGGCAGGAGGCGGAGGGCGGGGCTGGGCCGACCCAAAACAAACAACCTGCGCAGTGACTTTGCGGCCGCGCTGCCGCATGGCCTCGGCCTGGTGTGCGCCCTCCGGGGAGCCTCGGCCACCTAGGCCACCTCGTTCCCCCACCCCTCGGCCGTCGGCGCCCAGGCCCCGCCCCCTCGGAGACGCCGCAGGGTTATATTGGGCCGGGGCGAAGGTGGAAGGGAGACGGAACAGCGGCCGGCTAGCGTGGAGATGCAGCTTCGGAGACCCGGGGCGGAAAGGCGGCTACGGACGCCACGGCCTCGGGGACTCGGCTCCGCGGGCGCTCAAGGCTGAAGGCTCCATACTCTCCCCCAAGGGTGGCACGAACACCGGCTGGCACCATCTTCGTGCCCCGAAGATTCCTGCCCGGGACCTGGGACCTCCAGTAAAGAACACCTCCTGGTCTCTTGAATGGATAGCAGATGCTCACGCTTCTTCCTCCAGCAAGAAGTCCCAAGCCCGGCACACTTGGGCATCAGAGGGTGGAACCGCACCCCTGTACGCATTCACCCCGAAGTCTCTCATCCTCGAACTGAAGACAGTACCCACCCAACTCCTCCCTCTCCGCCCCTCTAGTTCACCCAATAAGCACAACTCCTCCAAAAAAATTCCAGCGGAAGAAGACTCTTCAACGGAAAAGTGACTGTCTCTCGCAAAAGAAGGGAGAGCTCCCGGGAAAGAAAGGCGAGGACCCCTGGCCTCGAGATCTCCATTCCGGCCCCCAGCACCAGGTTCCCAAGGCCGCGCGAAGGAAAGGGTACGGCGCAGGGCAGGGACAGGGTGCGCGGGCATGAAGTTGGAGGTGTTTGGCCCCCGCCCGGCCCACGGGGACAAGCCAGGTAGTGATCTGGAGGGTGCAGGCGGCAGCAACGCGCCATCTCCGCTGTCGGCAGCTGGCGACGACTCCTTGGGCTCGGACGGGGACTGTGCGGCCAACAGCCCCGTGGCGGGCAGCGGCGCCGGGGAGCTGGCGGGCGGTGGCGAGCGGAGCGCAGGCGGCGGGCCGGGCACAGAGGAGGAGGGCCCGGCGGCGGCGGCGGCGGCGGCGGCGGCGGCGGCGGCGGCGGCGGCGGCGCACGCGGAGGCCTGCACGGCGGGCCCCGGGGCGGGGAGCGCTGGGGGCGGCGAGGGCGCGCGCAGCAAGCCATACACTCGGCGGCCCAAGCCCCCATATTCATACATCGCGCTCATCGCCATGGCTATCCGCGACTCAGCAGGCGGGCGCCTGACGCTGGCCGAGATCAACGAGTACCTCATGGGCAAGTTCCCCTTCTTCCGCGGCACCTACACGGGCTGGCGCAACTCAGTGCGCCACAACCTCTCGCTCAACGACTGCTTCGTCAAGGTGCTGCGCGACCCCTCGCGGCCCTGGGGTAAGGACAACTACTGGATGCTCAACCCGAACAGCGAGTACACCTTCGCCGACGGGGTCTTCCGCCGCCGCCGCAAGCGCCTCAGCCACCGGGCGGCGGCCCCAGCACCAGGGCTTCCGCCCGAGGAGGCCGCGGCCCACCCCACCGCCGCGCCCCCGCCGCCCGCGCCCGCCACCCCGGCTTCTCCCCGCGCGCGCTCGCCCGCCCGCCAGGAGGGGCGCTCCAGCCCTGCGGGCAAGTTCTCCAGCTCCTTCGCCATAGACAGCATCCTCAGCAAACCCTTTCGCAGCCGCCGCGACGGGGAAGCGGCCCCCGGGGCGCGGCTGCCATGGGGAGCCTCGCCCTGTCCGCCGCTGCCCACATATTCCGCGCTACTCCCCGGCGCCTCCGGAGGGGCTCTACTGCCGCTGTGCGCTTACGGTGCGACCGAGCCGGCGCTGCTGGGCGCGCGCGGAGCCGACGCGCAGCCAGCCGTGCAGCCCTCCGTGCCACCCGCCGTGCCACCCGCCGCACCTCACCTCCTGCTCGCGCCCCTCTCCGCCTCGGCCCCAGCCAAGCCATTTCGAGGCCCGGCGGCCGGCGGCGGCTCGCACCTGTACTGCCCCCTGCGGCTGCCCGCGGCCCTGCAGGCGTCCTCGTCCTGTGGCCCCGGCCCGCACCTGCCTTACCCAGTGGAGACGCTCCTGGCCTGAGCAGCGCCGCGGAGCCAGGCAAGGGTGGGCGCCGTCGGGGAGGCAGGAAACGCAGGCCAGGGCTTTGCATTTTCTAGCCAGACAAAAAAAGACGTAAAAAAAAAAAAATCTCCATCAAACGTGCCTTAAACCTAAAGTATTTTTGACAGAGTGTTTTAATTTAATTCAGAATATTTTCGTTTTTCTTTTGTGACTTTACAGAAGACCAAACCAATTCTCCATAATTGCTTTAGGTTCTTGACCAAGCCTGTCCCTCCCTCACTTCACAAAGACTTTGCCTATCTTCTTACTCCCCCTTATTCCTATTTTTGTCGCACCCTCCATTGACTTGTCCCTTAAAAAAAAATCAGGGAAACATTCCATATGATAAATGATATGACTACTGTTCGGGGTTTAATGGCCCTCGCTCCATGTAAGTATGTGGCATTTACAGGCATGACTGAGTGTGAGAGAGATGTCAGAGAATCTTCAGTCGTTTCTCTATTGACCAATGCTTCACTGTGCCAAAAGATAAAAAAAAAAAAAAGTTGGGTTTTGTAATTAAATTATTTATATATTTTTGAGACCTGAGTTGAAAATGTTGCAGGCAACGGGCTACAGCTTTATTAGTGGTTCGGTGATCTCTAACTGTGGTCTCCTTGGGCCAAGCAATTTCTTTAAAAGAAAAGTTAGCATTATGTATGTGGGGTGCCAGGACCACTGCCACGTGAAAGCAAGCGTGATTTTTATTTTTAATATTATTTTATTTGTGTCTGTACATATTCATGTATAAATTTTATGAAACCCAGGCATAGTGCTTATTTTTAATAAAATTCACAACTGACTTTAGCACTTTGTGGTGATGGGTCAAAGATGGAGAGTTTTTTACATTTCCCCCACCCTGCCCCTGCCAAGAAAATGGGTTCGGGTTTGACTCTCAAAAAACTTCCTATGGGGGTCAAATAATTTCTTGAGTCACTCAATAAAGGTAGAGGCAGAGTGCAGGTTTCCTTACCTAACCAATCGCCCTACAAATCTCCAGGATGGGACTTCTGTCAACATGATTTCTTTAAACTTTGAACCAGTGACCTCTATGAGAACTCACACAGAGTTACCAGAACAAATGATTAAGGTGTGTTCCCCTCTCCTACAAGAATCCTTTAGCGGACAAATTGAGCTATTAGCAAGCTTATAGTTGAGCAGACATTTCTAAGTAAATTGGTTCTGACTTGGAGCTCAAAAAGCTGGAAACAATCTTGGCCTAAGACTATCCTAATACACCGAAGATTTCTTCAGGGCAGTTTTAAAAGCAACTTGAAAGTCAGTGATTTTTGTCAAAATGAAACGATCTACCTTTTTAGGAATGCAAAAGTTAATTTGTTGATGAACCAATCAGTAGTATTCTTTTTTCACTCTCTACTTCCATATGAGGATAGCATTTCTAGAGGTGGAGCTGCCAGGCCTATTTCTCTTGAGATCTGAAGAGAAAACACCACCTCAGATGGGCAAAGACAATTTCTCATGGTAAAAAGGGAAGGTTTTGATCAGAGGAAGTACCAGGAAACAGTGTGAACACCTGTTGTTCAGTAAATTCAAAGGCAGTGGGGCTCTAACAGTTTATGGATTGCAATATTCTAAAGACGGATGCAAAGAACAAGAAATTCAGAATCTAGAAATGTAGGCCCCATTGTTGTTCCTGTAGTTCTTCCCTAGATCTCATCTAATTTAAGACAAGAGGATGATTTAGGGTTTACATAGTGTGAGGTGGGGAAAAGAAAGTGGAATTTGTTTCAGGATGCTTTGGGGGGATAGCCCAACTGCAAGTCTAGTAACAAGTCTTGACAGATTTTGGTTATATCTACTTAGTAGTCAATGAAGAGTGGTAATAATAGGGTTGAATTATGACAAAAGGTAGACACGTGGAGATTTGCCCCCACATGGACAATAATTAGACCAAAAAATAAAACAAATGGAATAGGGCAAAGGGTGAGGGCGACAAGTTCACTGAGTTGAAAATATCAGGACTCATATACTCAATCCTTTGCTTTTTCTCTTGAAAACACACTCTGACTAAACGCGAACAAGGAGTCAGACACTTGAGGTGCTTCTGAACTTCGGCAGACCATTTCTCTCCAACTGTGTGCCTTGCCTCCAGAGGCAAGGTGCTGCCTACTTTTAAATCAGTTTTGGAAAGCCACAATTTCAATTTTTACATTAATACATGAAGTCAGGTCTGCAAATGGAGATTTCAAATAGTTTATTTATGTTAACAAAGACAGGGCAATGTGAAAGAGGCAAAGGGAAAGATGATTTAAAAAAAAAAATCACAGTTATTCTCCCCTCTCTTGAAAAAAATCCTTCCTTCCTAATGAACACTCCGGAGTCCCGCTGAAGGGGTCCTCTCCCTGGCTTCTGGTTCCCTTCGCTGTGTCCCCAGGTACTGTAAGGTTTTCTAGAGAATGGTCAGAGGCCCCTGAACTTTGCGTCCCTGTACGACCTTCCACGACCATCTACAAGTTCCTACTCCCAAGACCGAGCCTCCCCCCCCCCCGGGGGGGGGGGGGGGGCAGGATGTGGAGGGATGGAGGGACCTGCGGCTTAGTCGCCGCACTCCCCAGCCTCTCCCTGCTGGGCCTGAGGAGGTCCCAAGGAAAGGGAACCGCACAAGCCCTGGTTTTCGAAATGAAAGTGGAATGTTGCAAGGACGCTTTTAGTTCAGGCGACACTCCAGCTTCACGGGAACCGCACCTCGCGGAGGAGACTCGGGCCCTCAGCGACCAGGCTCGGTCGTGTTCTCAGGACCCTGGCCTGGGCTGCAGCCTCGGCGGTGTGACCCCGCCAAGACTGTCCCTTGTGGCAATGGCCCAGAGAACAGGATTCCTCGGCGGCGCCAGAGGAACACTCCGGGCTCCGCGCGCGTCGGGTGGGCCTAGGGCTGCTTGTTCCTCCGCCTGCGCCAAGTCCACCTCCTTCCCACGGCCAGTCCTCCCCCCGGCTTGCCCCTTGCGGGCCGAGGGGCCCCCGGCCCACCTGTGCAAACACCCCGCCGCTAAGCGCACCGACCCTAGGGTGGGGGTGGGAGTCTGTTTGGTTTGGGAAACGCCCTTTTATACCTGTCAGACCTCCCCTGAGCTAGAGATGTGGGCGGAGGGCTCCATGGGTCAGTTTTCAAAGATCCCCTCTTCTGCGTTGGCACTTTGCAGTCTCTTTTCTCCTCACCCCTTCACGGCTCAGAAGAACCCCTCTTTTCTCCTCACCCCTTCACGGCTCAGAAGAACTACGTGGGCAAATGAGGGGAGAGAAGTGCACAACGGCAAAGCCCCGTCCAGCTGGGCCTCCTCTTGTCTGCCTTCCCCACAGCCAGGGAGCAAGTCCGCCGCTTTGCGGAGCTGAAAATTCTCTGCGAAGCGACACACAACATCCTGATAAATCTAAAATCCGCTTTCTGCTATAGAAGATGAGTCTCCTAAATACAGGAAGAAAGGGGCTGGGTGGTGCGGGGGGCCGTGGTCGTGTGCCCAGAGGTCCACATCCCACCACCTCTTTGCCTGTAGTTGAGCCTTGGCAGTGAAAAACTTCAGCCATCCCTGGCGATGGCTTACTCCAAGCCTCTTAACTTACGGATAAGCAGGCTAACTAAAGCTCCTTGTAGAACTGTAAGTCAGTTTCTTGATCCCATAGGAATTCTCAAAAAAAAGAAAAGAAAAAGAAATCAGAGAAAGTCTCACCCCCAGATGATGGACAGGTTCTCCTCTATGAGCACCCCCGGGTTGACCTTGCTGAGCTGGAAGCATCCTTAAGGAGAATTACCTATGCCCACTCCGGTTCCACTGTGGCACAATTTCACAAACTTGACATTTATCTGCCCCAGGGAGTGTTTGTTCACACACAAAATACTGAGTTAAATTATTTGACTCCCTTAGGTAGACCCCTAATTTTATAGATGGGAAAACAGGCTGAGTAGTTTAAGCACTCCTTCTGGCAGACCCTGGTGGGAACCAAGATCCAGCTCCCAGTTCAGAATCCTTTCCACTGTAACACAATTATCTGGATAATTCAGACCAAAACATATTTTGGCCTGAGCTGAATTGAGCTATTCAGATAATTGTCTCAAGCCACTTTTATTACAATGGTAGGCAGATTTCTCAAACTGGTAGGTAGTTTCTTTCATACCAAGAACCCACCACCACTACCATAATTGGCCTTTTCTGGAAGAAACCATGTCCGCTCCTCACCTGAAAGACTTGGATGTGAAGTGTCTTAGACACTTTAGCTTTAATGTATAGATAGATTAGATAGATGGCTACCACAATGGAATTTGGCAACTGCTTTTTCTCTCACTTCTGCAGAGTGCCAAGTGCTTACCCCTACTGAAGGTAGCAAGCTCAATTCTGTGCTGAGAAAGAAGGATCTCTAGAGGACGCAGTACCTGCTTTCTGGTGATGAGTACTAACAGATGGGCACTCCCTGATGCACACCTCTCCTACTTTGCCACACCAGGCTCAAAATAACAAAAATGGCCCCTTTCCCACATGAGAAAGAAATTAGAACTTCTTATAATCATTTGCCTTCCATTTTTAGTTTTAAAAAATGCCATCCCATTCCAGCACATGACTGACAACTTTCTTAGATATTAAGAGACTTTGTTGGCATCAAACATACAAGGATATTGCTCCTCTGTTTTACTATTTTTTTTTTTAATTTTAGATCAGGATAAGCTGAGCTTTGCCTTGGTTCCAGAAATTAGACCCCGAAGAGTCCTTCAGTAAATATTGCCTGCTTTCAAACACCACAATATTTCTCTCTTAAGTAACAGACTTTATAGTTCTCTAATGAAACCATTAAACTTTTGTTATGTTTTAACAACATAATTTGTTAATTCTTAATGTTGTCAACAAATGGCCCTAATAAGTATCTTCTAAGAAGATCATGATCAAAAACATAAAAATATAACTCTCCCCAGATTTGAGGTCCTCTTTCAAATTGGCAAAGAGTCCAATGTCATGAAATGCTGGTTGTTG